ATATCAATCATTGTTATTTTTAAAAATTAAATTTAATGTCAACATTTGATAATATTTCATCAATTTTAAAAGTTAAATGTAAAGATTTTTTAGATGAAACAAATAATGTTAGGGTTAAAGGACTCAAATTATTTTAGAAAATTAAGAGGACCAAAATGAAACCTTATACAAAAATAAATAAAAATATTCTTTAACATAAAAATTGTAAAAAAATTTAATATTATATCTAAACTATCCAAAGTACATATAAATAGTCAATTCATAAATATTTTTAAAAATTAATATTAAATTAGACCATCTAAATTAAATATATACTATCCAGATTAGTGATTAATAGATCTATTAAAATTTTTTATAAATTTTATAATTTTTTTAATAAATATAAAATAAAAGTAAAAATAAAAAAATTTAAATCTGGATAAACATGATTATATGTTTTAAAAGGATTATAAACATGACTGCCTTTTTATATATACCTCTCTGTTCCCAGCTATTGGATAAAACAGACGGTGAGTACTGCCCCACTTCTTAGCCATTGCACAAAATCCACTGTATGGGATCCGTTCCCTGTTAACCAGAAGAATTATTTTGGCCAAAGTATTATCAGAATATTGTTAAGTAATAATTCTAGTATCTGACCAAATATGTTTGCCTCCCTTTAGTCAATGTGTTTTATTTTCAAAATAATGATAGTGAAAATACGTTTTGTGCTTGTGTTTTTATCTTTTTTTTTTAGTATTATATTATTTTAAATGATTTGTTAATTACCAGAATTTCTTTTACAAAATATAGAATTATTTATTTTTGACTAATGTTTAAGTAAAATAATTAGCATTCATCTCACCTCAATAATTACAAAAATATAAATGTGAATTCTTTTAATAAAATAATTGAGAAGGGCTATTTATTTTTAAGAAGGACTATATTGTTGTGCCCCTTTCGCTACACTACTAAGGATACATAAGTTGACTTGACTTGACATGTGAGTAGAAAGATGATAAAAAAGTCTTTTTCTTTAACCATAACATCAATAAGCTATGTAACGTATAAAATTTTCTCATTTATAAAACATAATAGATTTGGTTATCATCTAAAATGACAATATAATATATCTATAAATCATTGAATTGAAAAAATTATTTTGATGTAAAAATATTTCATTGATTAGCCTTAATTTGATTTTGGCTAATTTTTAAGTAACAACACTCATTTTCATCAAATTATAAAAATAAAAATAATAATGGTTAGAGAATGTGCAGCATATTGAAATTCTAACAAAAACTTCACATCATTATTGTGTCATTTGTTCAATACTAGGTATATAAGATGCCTTTTTTTTTTTTTAAGTTTATTTTTGTGAAAGATCTATGATTCTTTCAATTTTTTTTTTTTAGCATATTGGAGGCCCAAGGCCCAAATACAAAATTAGAAACCAAAAGACGAAGTAAAACAATCCGAAACAACCAGTAAGATACAAAAATAGGATACCCATTAATGATAAAATTATGAACAGTAATAAGAGATGGATTTTCATCTACCACCACCCACCATTAGCGACCTTTTGTTTTTTTTGGTGAAAATTAGCGCCCTTTTTTTCGTTAGTGAGTTGAAACATGAAAACATTCCAATTTATAAAACCTCAATATTATCTATGGCATTACTAAAATAAATATACATAAATTATTCTTACATATCATTTGCATTATATCATTGTGCCATTTTGGCCAGACAGAGTATATTAGTAATAATATTATTAGAGAAGGCAAAACAAAAAGAGGCTTAAGTTCACTTCCCTCAATTTTGTTTTATTTCGTTTTTTGTTTTTCTTTTTGGATAAAAAACTTCCAGTTATCTTATTTCATTCTAGAATATATAGGCTAACATTGCAAGCCATAAGAGCTGAGGAGTGTAAATTTCCAGCACTCCTGATGGAAGCATTAAGAACTGGTTTTATACACTCCTAAACTTCCCCACCAAAAAAAAAAAAAAACACACACACACACACACAAAGAAAGAAAGAAATATGCATATGAATAAAATATGCCTGTAATACTAAACATGTTTGCTCCAAGAATCCTAGCAGCCCAACCAAAAAAAAAAACTAAACAAGCTTTTTATTTTTTTATACAAAATTAAACAAGCTTATGTTGTCAAAAATATCATACAATTAAATGAAATACAAGGTTAACCTTGCTTCGTAAGCATAATCAACATATATGTTCCTAATTACAATTGAGAAATATTATATACTTCAGTGGTATAAAATCTAATGATATAATAATACTCATGACTTTAGCTATAGATTTTGAGTAAATATAAAAAAAAATTAAAACAATTAAACAACCAATTCTAATAGAATACGAGAATTACTTTCTCAATTTATAAGTAATGAAAATAAAGAGGTAAATATCTTGCTTGTTGGTTGGAACAACTATCAAATGCCACAAGATAATAATTCAAATTTAACATAAATTCAACTTTACAATTATTCAACAAGAAAACTGGTTTTATGATGCAGAAGAAGGTGGCGGTAGTTTTTATTATCTGAAATATAAAGATACCAAGGTTAATTATTAAAATATTTAAGCCATTAATAGTAAATAAAAAATCTAGTTTAATTTTCTTAAGGTAAGAACCATACCTTGGTAATTTAAATTATCTAAAAACATTTCAAATATATAAACATGGACAAGGATAAATGTTTAATGACACAATACTCACAATATAAGATGAGCATAAGTTTATGAAACATACTTTCAAGCTCATTATAGTGACAAAATAGACTTTGTAATAGTGATTTGGGATCAACTTACTCAAAAATTTTATAATAAGAATTTCTTTTTTAAAAATGAAAATTTAAAAAAGAAAAATATTTTTCTCAAAAACAAGTTCCCTTAAAGGAATCCACATAGCACGAGATTTTTAGTCTTGGGCACACAACCCATGTCGATAAATCACCTAACAGACATGGCTCAAAGGCCGTGGATAACAAACTTACTGTGTTTGATCCCTCTAAAAGGATTCCCAGGTATATCAGAAACCAATCCTTCCATATATGGATTTAAAAAAAAAAAAAGAATCTAAACAGTAACCATAAGCCATTTTTCCCAAACTTTCTTCCATAGACTCTTATATACTTGTGAATCTCTCTTTTAGAAATAAAAAGGATTTTTATCATTATAAAAATGCTTGCAAAATCTCAATTTCAACAGTTAATTTGTCACGCTCAACCCAAGATAATGTCACAGCAAGCATTGCATTCAGTTTCAAAATATTTGTAAAATAAACTTCCCAATAGATTGATGTTTCTCACAATACCATAACATGAATTAACATATATGCTAGAAGCCAAGAGATTACTATCTTTTTGCTAAAGAGCAAATCAACAACTTGGAAACAACATAGTTATGTTACAGCATCTTTTGATATTCTCAATGTCTATTCAGCACATGATTGAACCAAAGAAATTCAAAAGAATGAATACCTAACCAAATCTAAATAACATAACTCTTCACTGAGAGTTTAATGAAGTATTAGTGACATATCCAACTCTTATATATCAATAAAGAAACAGAATAATAGTTAATCATGCATAATTCTTTTCTTAAGCGTTTCATTAGGATTTCCTGTAGAACGCAAGAGAATGAAAATATGAATACCTGGCAACTGAAAAACAAAAAACAATACAACATTTCATCACTATTGGAACCCATAGGGTTCAAGGCACTCCTCCACACTTCTGCTGCCATACTCTGATAATTTAATAGAGCATGTTTAATTACGTAATCATTCATCAATCACATCATCAACAAACAAGTCTAGTGCAGTATAAGCTCTTTTTTTAAAACTTACTAATAGTTGATGATGATGATGATGATGATAATCAAGAATCCTAGGTACTTCACAAAAGTTTAAAGAGGCAGAATACTCAAAGTCTTACAATTTAGTTTATTAAAGAAAACAAGGCAAGATTCTCAAATCTTTCATGAGTCATTATATATGTGTCCCAAAAGTTATCGAAAAAAAAAAGTGATCTTGAAATTACCAACCAAATTTTTTTTTTTTTCCAAATTCTCTAATTCCATTCCCAACCAATACAATAATCACGTTTAAACTTCCAACTCTTCTCAAGCATACAAAACTAAACTTCCTTTTTTTTTTTTTATACTCTTCACCATAATTAGATCCATCATGTTTTTCAACTACTACACCCTCACCAAGAATCAATTAAGCCTAAAGGAAACTTAAATCCACTATCATCCTCCTCAAATATGAACCAAACAATTATAGTAAAATAACAAATTAGAAACCATGTTATCATGAAAGCAAAAACAAAACAAGTTGAAAGCCACCATTATTGACGGAGAAAGTTGGATTTCAAGCATAGATGCTAATATAAATGAGATATTGTTTTTTTTTTCCCCTTAACTCGTACATCACCAAAACAATCATCAACAAACTCAAAAAAAAAAAAAAATAGTGCCTAATAAACTGCATAACAAAATGAAATATGGATTTACACAAAAAAAATACTAAACAGAATATGGATGGCTAAGAATTCCGCACAAGTTTCCATAATTAAGAAACACATTGTAGCATATACCGCTAGATGAAGGTATGAAATATTGCAGTTCAATAGCAGTACCTATTCGCATTCATGAAAACAAACATAATGAATTAAGAACAGAATTTTATTGCTCATTTTGTCACACAATGGCTTCATAAACAAATTCTTTACTGTGCTCAAGTTAAACTCAACGAAATAGCACCCAAATCAGATATGCATCTCCATGGACTTAATGGAACTTCAAAAAAATACATAATCAAGCACTTAACAGACATTTTATTAAACATCTTACAATAGTTAAACCTTAAACTAATACTAAACTTAAAATTTTTCAATTTCTATTCCACAATTCCCAATACCCATATTTTAATTAAATCAAGCAGTCCAAATTGCATTCTTCCAACAAAAAATCAGTTTTAAACTCAAGGAAAAATCAATCCACAATCATCTTCGTCATCAGTAATTCATTGATTATGCTAAAATTACTTATATAAAAAAATGTGCTCCAACCCAATTAAGACATGCACGCACCTATTGATGCCAAGGTATAAGGGAAGGCCAAAAAAATAAAATAAAAAAAAAACAACAATCATAACTTCAGCCACAAAAATACACAAGCGGCATCACCAAGAGGTGAAGAATGAGAAGCCACTCACCTCAGTTCAAAGACAATGAAACAGAGAAGAGGAAGAAATCTGCGGCATTCAATAGATAGGACGAAGAAGGAGAATGTCCGACGCACCACACCACAGCAAGCGCAGAAACGGAAGAGAGGAGATGGATGTCAAACACCGAAGAGGAAGAAAAGACGTGCTCCACCCAACTCACAGTCGATGACGACGAAGAAGAGGGAAGATATTTCGCGTTGCTGCTGCAATCGGAGAAGCTGATGAAAGTGGAGAAACAACGGCCTCGGTACTGTGAAACAGAGGAAGACAAAGGAGCCACGATTCCACAGATTAGCGATGGATCTCAACCACACGCACACCTACAACGATAAACAGTAATCTCCAAGCATCCCATCAAAGCTCTTCTCTTCCAATTTCATTCTAACAATTGCTTCAGCATCAACCATTCTAGACCAATTAATTTAACTCAACCATAAATATAAATATATCATTATCAAGCTTCAAAAATAGATTTTCCAGTTCAAATTTGAATTTCTTTCTCCTCCCTACTCAGCACGGCAACAGCAGAACCAAAGAAAAATTTGCAATTTTCAACATCATTTCAGCCACTCACACGCACAGATTATACAAAGCGAAGGATAAGAGATCGAAGCTTCTAACATTCAATGACCAAAACACACAAATAGAGAAAGGAGGAGGCAACTTCAAACAGTGATGAAGGAGGGACTGTCACCGTGAATGAAGAAAGGATGAGCATATCGGTGATGACAGAACAGCAAGAGGAAGAAAGAAATCTTAGCTCACCCAAGCATTTACACGCATATGAAACAAAAGGAGAAGGAAAGAGAGGTTAGACATACTTGAAACAATGACAGAGGCGGAGGAATGGCGGTGAAACAGAGGAAGAACTCATAGTTGGGTCGGACGAAACGGCGATAGGCACACTGGCGACGGTGACTCACACGAACAACAGCAACCAGCGATTGAGAAGGAGGAAGGCAGAAAATGGTGAGAGACAGGGCAAGGGTTTGTACTCTGCTCTCCAACTCTCCGCTCGCAGACGCATGAAAAAGACAAGGGAAAGGAATGAAAAGAATTTGATTGAGATAAGGGCGTTTTGGTAATTTCATAAAGCAAAAAAACAAACAAAACAAAATGAACTCCTTGGGCATGAGTCAGATTCGAGCTTGAGACCAACAAGGTGTATTATTTGCATAGTTTTCACCACACCAATAACCTTTGCCCCAAATATAAATAAAATACATTCTAAAAAAATTATTTTTATTTTATTTATCAAGGTCATTACAGGAGAAACTAATATTTGATGGTTAATTCCTCAACTGTTAAATATGTATATCAAAATATATAATGGTTATAGTAGAAACAATTTGCTATATTTTTTCAGTTGGGCTCTTTAATTTGCATAGTTGCTTATCCTACTGATAATTTGATGAGATGTTAATTTCTATATCACCTATTTGCCTACAACACTTCCATCAGTAATCTTTGAGATTGAGGCGATCAAATTTGGCCTTGAGTTCTGTAGGGGAGTGAGATGAAAAACATTAAATTGTTTTCTTTTGCTGAATATGTTGATTCCTTGGGCAAATGGACTTTTAGATGTGATTAATTAGTGATTAACTGAAGTTGTGTCGAGACTGGAGTTGTGTTTTGTTTAATTATTAATTTAAGCTGTTTAGGATTGCTATTAAGACTGTATAAATTAAATGTAGTTGTGTCAAAGACCACCTGTGACTCTGATTATAACATTCAAAAAACAGAGCACTCGTCTACTTGGTGTTTTGAAACACATTACTATACAATCCCCTTCATTTAATCCTGTAACTTCTTGCCACCTTTCCTTGCAACACCCTCTAAACTCGACGCAGCTCCTTAAATTTTGGGTCAAAAACCCTTGTTGCACCAGCAAAGTTCATCAGTGAGGTGAGACCTGAGATAATGAAAACAGGGGAGTTAGGAACACGAAGAGTTGATTTTGACGATGGAAGTATTATTAGTAGACTATAGATATAAATTACCAGTATGTCTCTTCACAAGTGCATATTGAAGAGCCACAATCAATTCAGTTGTATCCTTCTTTTCATCATAGCTTGACCAAGCAGCAACGGCAGTATCACCGAATAGAAACACTTGATCTTATTACCACTGCAAATGAAAAAAATAAATATATTTCAATAATAAACGTGTCATGCAAAACAAAGATGTGGCTTGAGAAAAATTTAATCGACAAATACTGAACTGAATATTCTCCACAATAAATTCCAGCTTTTGGGTAAGCATGTCCTAGTCATAGTTAACCAACTCTTTCAAGAAACCACAAACATCCTGCAAGATTTTTTGTTGTGAATATTTTTTGGATAGGCAATGTGTATGCATTTTTTAAAATTTTATATACTGACCAAGGACTTGTAACTCAGGCTACCACTCACTCCGTATCTCATGTACAAGTTTCACATTGAAGCATTTTTTAAAATTTTATATACTGACCGTGGGCTCGTAACTCAGGCTACAACTCACTCCCTATCTCACGTACAAGTTTCACTTTGAAGCAATGGTCAGGCATCAATGTATCATGCTCTACTATCTTAGTGTCATCATTCAACTCCAAATGAAACCTTGGATGAACCGCCATACCGCCGGACCTAACTGAGAAATAATGAATGTAGTAGGTCTTTGTCTCTTCAAGCCGATTACAAAGCCTCCTAATGTTGCCAGTTTCAAACACAAAGATGATCAAACGACACCACTGAAAAGGTAATATACGAGACACCAACAACAATAAAGATCTCTATATGTGTTCCTTGCAATATCATTTGTGAAAATACAACCATGGTTAAGGATGGAAAATGTAGAAAAAAGAAAAAAAGGAAAAAAAGTAATACATAGTCACATAATGAAGAATCTTTAGTATAGATACAAACTATGTGTCAGGAAACATAAGAAATGGAGGAAACATAATGAACTCACTGAGCATCGGATACAAGAAGTTCAATAGGGCGAAGACGCTTGGGATATCCATAATCAACCTCAAAATATTCATCTGGGTTCGTGCGGTCATAGATGCGATCTACCTTGAACAATACACACCATTCAGATTTACTTGGATTAATGGAGAATGGGAAGTTGAAGTTCATGTTCTCTGAAGCCATAACAGCCTGCACACACATCGGTAGATCACAAATAACGATAGCATATTGAAAGAGGAATATTAGTATTTTGATTTTCTAATAAACATGAAAGGAAGCCCTACCCTTAAACATACCTGAATCTTTCATTTCTCCCCCAAGAAGGGGTTCTTCTATAAACATGTCCAACATTGCAAATAAGTCCAGGAGAAAGGAAGAATGGTGAGAGTTTGAAGGATTTCCCATAAAGGACGAAAAGGAACCTTAGCTTTCAATAGTTCAAGATCAGAAGTACTTTCTCTAACAAATAAGGCATACCTTCTTATGACAGAATCACCTGATGATAGCTGAACGAAGAAGGAGATTTTCTTTAAACACCGGCGAAGCTCCATATCATGAAGACAGATAAGAGTGTCTCCACAACGCATTGGACTCACAATATACGACATCTCTTTATATTAGCTGGCACTGATAAACCAAGTCAAGCACCGGCGAAGCTCCATTGGTCTGTGCAATTACTTGACAGATGACGGACATCCCCAGGACATAACTAAAAACATTATCTATCTTGATGGATGAAGTGAAAATTGTAGGAATTAGCTAGGCACGTCCTTATAATTGAACACGTGATTCCTATGCTGAAATCACATTTATCTATCTTATTAATTTTCCCAAGGCTTTTCATTCATTCCAATTAATTTGTGTATATTTATATTATTGAAAGTAATTTTAGGTGAACTTACGTTGTCGTGATTTATATTAAAGACTTACCTAGAAAATGACTTCAATTAAAAGTAACTTTGTTTAAAGCCAAAAAATATAAAAATAATGAATTAAAAAGGTCTAGACTTGAACATTCAAGATGTCTTTTAATTTCAAAAAGTCGCTGAGATCCATTACAACATGGACATCCCTCCATCACCTAACGCTTCATTTTTCTTCATTTTTCATACTCTCTCCTATTTAGTTATGATATTCCATACTCGTTGATGCAGGCTAAAGGAAAAACAAGTTGAATTATTCGATTGCTGTTAAAGAACCTGCTTTTTGGTACTTTCTTGCTCTTTAGCTTCCTTATTAATTTCTTTGGCAATTTATTGGAAACATATATGTGAAGTGTATTTCTCTTCTTCCACAGACTTTGAGTGAATATTTGTTACAAAATCGTGATTTACTTGGTTTTTAATTCTTCTTTTCAATTCTACTTTCCGATTTTGCCTAAAATCAATCTTAATAAATGATACAATATAACATAATCATTTTTATTCAAAATCAATCACATTAATCAATTTATTTATAACCAATTTTTCCGAGGATATCCAAACGAACCAAATGTCATTGTGTTGTATTTTCACGCGCATCTTTGTTGTCTTGTGTAGTCTTTTGGGAAAATTGGCCATAAGGACAAAAAACTTAAATATTTGGGCATAAGTATCAAATACTTAAATAAATTTTGCAAGGGACTTTGATCCTTGAGAGATAATATTTTTCAATAAAAGGCTTTTGGTGGAAACAATTAAATGTCGCTGCTAAAAATTAACTTTTGGCGGCAATTGTTAGTCGCAATACAATGTCGCCACTAAAGGTCTACTTTTAGTAGTGACTTCTAATTATCATCACTAAAAGTAGACCTTTGGTGGTGATTTTTTTAGTTGTTGCTAAAAGTCGCCGTCAAAAGTCTTTCTTCGTTTTTTTGTAGTGATTAACAAAGATTTCAGTTCACAAGAAAGAGAGCATTGGATGTTTCTCAAAATGGGCAAATTGTGTGAAAGTCAATTCAACATAGGCATTTTATATGAATGACTGGGATTTTCTCAAATGAATTGCCCAAATTCATTCTAGACAATATACATTAAATACTGGAAAAAAGAGATCACTTTCTAATATTAGTAGCATTTGCAATCTAAGGATTAGATTGTTATCACATTTAACTCCTGAATATTGTTCGAGCGAATTTTCTTCATCACGTGACCAATATGGCTTCAATATCTAGAAGTCTAATATTGCAGCAATGAGAAAGTGTTTGAAGAAGGTAATACTGCAAATCAGCATAAAAAGTTATTGCTTTGGCATATATTTCATTGATTTCAAATGCCAACCATTGAATGACTTAGAGCCATGCTTTTCCATGCACCACCTTATATACCCATTCTTTCTCCTTGATCAGCAAGTATGGAATGCTTCATCCCAATACACACGCATATTAAACATTAATATTAATTTTTGAGATGATAAAAAATTTAGAAAAGGTTGTTACGCATGCCTTATTATAAACATTCCACACAAGCATTGTTTATAAGTTCATTCTATCAAACGTATACCCATTTCATCTTGTAGTCACACACACACTATACTCCTAAATGTCTCCATATATGTATCATTCATGATATCAAAGAATTTTGACTACATTTATCTATGGCTTTTGAACTGAAGACAGAGGTAAACTCACAAATAATAATTTATCTCTATTTTTTGAACTGAAGACAGAGGTAAACTTACAAATAAATAGAGACAAATAGAGTTTTCACTTGTCGAAATGAACTGTGTGACAAAAGAATGGGGTGATAGAAATTAGGATTTGCAAACGTCTCACGTAAGCTATGACTTCGCTTTTGATATTTAAAAGAACAAAGTAACTATCCTCGCCCTTTCTTTATCTTGATTCTCGCATGGCCATGTTTTGTTATAGCTAGCAAACACACGTGTTTCCTCTGACATGGCTTGTTTAGTTCTTTTTGTCAATTGAATCTTGGACGATTGCAAATATTTTTTTATTAATTAATTAATTTATTTTGTGGCTGTGTTACAAATAAATGTATTTTGAAATTATTTATGTTTTTGAAACATGAAGAAAAAGGAAAAGAGCAACAAGAACAAGTTAATTTTAAGTTT